TTCCGCCAGCACCATCTTTCGTCGCTGATTTTATCAGAGTAGGACACTCACCCTTTCCCACACCTGCCACCAGCGGATAGCCGAAGCTATATTGCATCACTAACATGGAATACCAATATAGCCGAGGGTCTTGGTATTCTTGGTAATACCAAAAACCGCTTGAGCCAACCGGACAATCAGCATGGATAAACTGAGTTTCGCAGCCATCCCATTTTTTGCTCCCGAAAACTATTTTGCAGCTATTATTATTACTATTATTTATTATGCGTTTTGTGCTGTATACAGCAGTACAAAACGCATATTGTCACGGGGTTGTGTGTGTGTGTGTGTGTACCGCAGCAACTTGTCCGCAACTTTCAACTCGGGAACCACAAAAGCTATGAAGCTGAAAATTTAACGCAGCAACTTGTCCGCAACTTTCAACTCGGGAACCACAAAAGCTAGGAAGCTGAAAATTTAAGGGGGCAGCAACTTGTCCGCAACTTTCAACTCGGGAACCACAAAAGCTAGGAAGCTGAAAATTTAGGGAACGTTCCCCACCCACGTGTGACCCAGCAAATTTAAATTCAGCTTCCCCTTACCCGCGGGTAACACGTATGGCCCCGTGAAAGTTTTTCACTGGTAAATTATTATCTCGGGAACCACGGAGTCTAGGAGGCTGAAATTTTTGACCCCCTGCCCACGCTTAACACTGCCCATTCAAATTCAACGTTCCCGCGCTCTCGGGTATCACCTACGGGCTAGTGAAAATTTTGGTGAAAATTTGTCTGATTTATCACTATTTATATCTATCCAAAACGATAAGAAACAAGAAGCATCCAGACAATCAGTCTGGGAATCCTCCATTTTATTGATGCTACTAGGATGCTTTCACACGCTGAATGAAGATTCTGTGATTGTGGCTGATTGGTGGCAAATAATTTCAGATTCAAGCCTTTCATTCAAATCAGTCTGTGAGAAATCTGATTCAGCTTAGATGGTATGTTGCTCCTCGCGTGATTCGCTTGTAAGTTAGGCAAGCCATTCTTGGCTTGCTTCCCAAGAAGCCCAGGTCGCGATGGTATCATCGGTATTACAGCTAATGAGTGTTTACTGCTAACAAAGTGTTGTCACTTACATCCTTTCCAATTACCTTCTTTTTCTGGAAAGAATGTACCCTCAAAGGACATTAGAAGAAATTGTTTCACGAACCTGATTCGAAAAGCTGTCACATTCAGTATTTTTTTTTCAAAAATCTAACAAAACTAGCGTTTCTCGCTAAATTCAAACCAGGGAACAAAAGAGCGTTTTACGCAACTGGTTGACACTGCTGAACACTACTTATGCGCATTTCTCACTTCTGCATCTGGAGCCATTTCTATTACTGAGAATAATTTGATCCCAATTTTCTGGCACGGGTTTTCGAGGTACTGCTGAAAGTAAGTGGAAGAATCCACACTCATAAATGATGTTTGAGTTATAATTTAGCACTTTCTTGGTCCTGTCTCGAGTAAAGCTAGGCCATAGAATTTATGGTGCAAGTTGCTGTTGGCTCTGGTTTTTGTGTTTGTGGAGATCACTTTTTTATACATCAAGCACGTCGAGGAATAAAAAAGAATATTGTGTTTCGAAATCATCCGAAAAGGATGCATTATTAATAGAAGAACGATGGGTATTATTGGTATTATTATTGATGTTATTATTATTGTTCGTGTTATTGTTGTTATGCTGAAAATTATTATTGTTATTATTATCATTACTATTACTA